ATTAAAATAAACTTATCCTTTAAAGGTGGACTCTAAATACAGTCTTGTTTAATTGGTGCCAAGACATGTTCATATCTTCGTCCATAATCATTGAATCGAAAAATGATATTGCTCATTTGAAATCAAGAATGTCAAGTTGTGATCAGTAATTGATTTTTTTCACTTGAAAGACGTCAAATCGAGAAACGATCTTACTCGCTTGCTTTATAAGACGTCAAATCATAATCGATGGATGATTTGCTCCTTCCTCTAAGGACACAAAATCAAGGAATGATCTACTCCTTATTCGGAAGATTATTAGATCGATGGACGATCTTCTGAAGGTGACTAAGTCGTAATTGGTGTATGATTTGTTCCTCCCTTTGAAGGATTCTAAATCGAGAAACGATCTTACACTCTCTGAAGGAAACCAAGTCATAATCATAGGTTGATTTACTCCGCCTATAAAGGACACCAAATTAGGGGATGATCTTACTCATTCCTTTGAAAGATGTCAAGTCGTAATTAACTCTCTTGTATGAACATATCTAATTCAAGAATGATTTTCTCTCATCGTGCTTGAGGACGCCAAGTCAAAATTGGTTAGTGGATTACTCATTCGCATATGTCAAAACTGAATATGATCTTGATCCTTCAAACTCAAAGACACTAAGTCATAATCGGATGCATGATTTAATTTGAAACAATTTTGCACCTTCACTCTAAAGGATGTCAAGTTGTGCTCTTCTATAAAACTTTATTTTTTTGTCAATTTGTATTTCAAATATTAATCAACTACATTGTCTAATAAATGTAAAATTATTTGAGATTGAACTGATCCTGTCTAGTTGAATATGTTTCTACAAATATGAAGACCTTCACTCTAAAGGATGCATGATTTGTTTTTTCCTTCGAAAACGACAAATCGAGAATGATATTTTTCTTTCCTCTAAAGGATGTCAAGTTATAGAATGGTTTTGCTCCTTCATCTTGGAGTATGCCAAGTCATAATCAAAGGTGATTTATTCCTTCCTCTAAAAGGATGTCAAATTAGGGAATGATCTTACTACTTCCTCTAAAGAACACTAAGTTGTAATTGATGGGTTGATTTGCTCTTCCCTTTAAAGGATGCAAAATGAGGGGATGATCATACTCCTTCCTCCAAAGGACGCTAAGTCACAATCATTGGTTGATTTGCTCTTCTCTCTAAAGGATGTCAGATTGGGGGATGATCTTACTCTTTCCTCTAAAGGTTGCTAAGTCGTAATCATCAATTGATTTTCTCCTCCCTCTGAAGGACGCCAAATCACAATCATTAATTGATTTATTCACTAACTTCAATAGTGAGACGAATCTTCAAAAATCTCCTAAGAAACTTCACTAGAGACATTCTGCGTGATTCAAGCCATTTTCTTTTATAGAGAAGACAAAGTTGGGTTGTAATTGTCTCTTAAAGAATCATTTTTTGAATTCTATTCAATCAATTTGAATTGTTTAATGGGACATCAAATCTAAAAATGCTTCCTGATGAACACCAATTATGAATCCTCCATTTTATTATTTTTCCTTGTTAAATATGGTTTCCTCTATCTTCAAGTTTTAAGTTTTGGCTCTCTTCTCGAGATCTCGTGATCACAAATCTTCTTCTTTACTTTAAAGATCTGGAAAAATGTGCATCTACATATAAAATTATGGATGTAATTTTATTGTTGTCAATGAAATGCACTTATTTTATGCAAATGGTGCAGAAGTGTCGGTCATCAATCTTCTTCAATCTTTAAAGAGGAGACCTATTCATTCAAGAACACGCCGTAGGGTTAGCATTGTAGCATGTCAAGGAAAATTGTTATCTTGTATTGATCATGTTTCTTTATTTTCTAATATTGTATCTTTGATTCATAACAAGTGTTTTCCTTTTGAATGAACATCGGCCTTAAATTCTCACTGTAATTGGGTATATGTTTTTTATGTCACTTTTATTTTCAAGCCCATACGCCTTATCAGAATACTTGTTTCAAGTCTTTGTTATCAATTTGAATGATATTTTCCTCCAACCATTTTTAAGGGTACCAAACTTATCTCGAGTCATCTAGAGTACCATTATTGGTATTTTTTCTCATTCCTTAGTTCGATGGTAAGTAGTTTCTCTCCATGAGAATCACTATACTTGTGTGGGAATTGGCCTTGAGTTCTTACAATGTTAGTTCGAATATCATTACCCATTCTTAAGTCGTGCATTTTTTTCGTAGAGACAGCCATTTGCTTTAGGATCTATCATGATGTCATAAAGATTTGTAAAGAGTCTTTTTGATCTCTCAAGCTTCTAAAAGTAGATGTATTCATTGTTTCTTCCTTGTTCGGTCTCTTACTTTTTACGCCACTTATTTATTAGAAGCTTTTGAAGTATAGTGGGTCACATCAATTTCAAAGACCTCATTTCTTCGTGAAAAAGTTATTTTCTTTCTTTTATTTTTCAAAGTGAGTCTTGGTTGGGCTTTGGGTTGCTGGGCATGAATCAGTGGGCTGATGGTCACATGAGTTGTTCTATATTTTGGGCTTAACTTGTTGGATCTGAAAATAATAATAAAACAATAATAAATAATAATAATAATAATCCTTGAAAAAAATGAGTGTCTACAATTATAGTAAACTAGATAGTAGTAAAAATCGAGATCTTAAAGGAAAATTATCAATAAATTTATGTACATTACCACATACACTTTATTATTCTTTTATGATTTAACATAATAAATCTTGAGATACTTCACATCATACTCATTTGAGTTTTATCATCCACAACTTATGTTTCTCTCCATTGGAATGAACTCCACCAAATACTTGATTGTAGATTTCAGCTGAAGAAAACTTCGGTCAGTTTGGCAAGACTTTTGAAAAGTAATTTTTAAAAGTACAGTAGAAAATAACTTTTAGTAGTGCGGTTTAAAAGTGTAGTTTAAAATTTAAATGTTTGAAATTATTATTAAAAATTGAGTTTAAAAAGTTAAAATGTCTATTATAGACATTATGTTGTAAATTAAAAATATAAAATTTAAATTATATTTACACTTTTTAATACTCTGATATATAAAATATATCATTTAAACTATAATAAAAATATAAAAATATTTTAAGATAACTCATTAATAATATTTTTATAACTAAAATATTTTATTAAGAAAAAATATAACATGTGGATATAAAATATTTTATTAATATTTTAATATATAAACGAGGAATTTTATTTACTTTTAAATAATTAAAATAAATTATTAAATAATAAATTTTTTTAAGGATGTTAATATTAAATTTTCAAAATAAAATATAAATACATAATTGAGTGGAGCTCATGCATTAATAAGGATAAAATTATAATTTGTTCCCTAACGCAAAGTTAAAAATGAAAAAACTACAAATTCTAGCTTTTGCGGTCACCATTTTCACCGTAATTTTTTTTTACCCGTTTGAAATTGATTTTGTGGTCAAAATTTTTTTTTAACTAAAATTATATTTAAAAAGTCACATCAAACAGGGCCTTAATTGTGTCCCCCACAAGTTCTCATGAATGTCCATGATTTCAATACTTCAATAATATTCCTTTTGTGATTATATCTAATACAAAAGTGTAAGGAAAAAAATTAAGTACATTTTATCGGATGATCAAGTTGTTCATTTTTTTTTCATATTTCTTTTGATCATGGATTCTAGACCCACTAGGAATACTCATCTCCATTTTCTTTGAGTCTTCATTTCCCTTCCCTCTAGATAGGATAGATATGAATAAGATAGATTTATAATTTATAAAAAGAAAAAGGTGAACTACATCTAATACCACCAAACTTTTGGCGTTGTATTGTTTATACCACTGAACTTTTAATTTTATCAATTATAGCATTACACTTTGATTTTTGTTTCAATATACCACTAAATCGTTAAATTATTAACGTCACGATGATATAGTTGACGATTGTTGACATAGACACCTCATCAAAACGATGTCGTTTTGATCTGACTATTAACGATTTAACGGTTCAGTGATATAATTGAAACAAAAATCAAAGTTCAATGTTATAATTGGTAAAATTAAAAGTTCAATGATATAAACGATACAACATCTAAAGTTCAGTAATATATGGTGTAGTTTACCCGGAAAAACTGTAACAAAATAAACAATAGAATAATAGGTGGGTGGGTTTAGATGTGGTCCAGCTTTTATGCTCTGCCAAACTTGGAAATATTCTATAACGTGATAGTTTTGTCTACAAGTCACTTCCCACCCCCAAGTTGGGATGCTTCTTTCTGAATTCTCAACAGTCTTGCAATGCAATAATACAACAGTTCTAAAAGCCTTTGAAATATCTTGCAAATTGGGGAATCTGAAAGACCCTCCTCACATGGTACAAGTAATCAATCGCCTTTCAAGCTTTTTATGACCTAACAACAGCATTGCATTCAACTTTATCATTAAGGATTTGGTCATTTGATTGTGATTCTAATACTTCAACCACTGCTAGAAAAGGCAGTATCTAAATTATTAGTTGGATCCATTGATTTGATGACTTCTTTGGTTTTATATCTTACATAGCTAATAGATAAAAAAATGCATTTTCCATAATGGGGTTGTTTTTAATAAAACATAGGGATTGTTCGAAACTCATTACCAGTTGGTGAAAGTTTTTACTAACCAGGGGAGTAGTAGAAAAAATTGCTTCTAATAAGTACTAACCAAGGGAAAAGATGAGATGTGAGTTGACAACTTTTAACAATGTACTCAGGAGATGGTTGACAAATCTCGTATTTTTAAAAGAAATAACATAAAAGTAAGCAAAATTAAAGAACATAAAAGTAGGCAAAATTGGTGGGCATTTGCAACTTACATGAGGTTCAATTTTATGTCATAAAAAACCAAATTCATTTCAATTGGGAAAATGAAGGTAGATAAACTGAACTCTAGTTTTCAATTGACAGCTTTTTCACATTCCAGAGCAGCTAGCTATAGTTCACAACGACTCACCGTGTAGAAATTGAAGAAATATGTTTAGCATCCACCTGGGCTTACCTAATATTACAAAAGGTAGTGCATTACACAACAGTAAACAAATCTAATTAGCTTCACATTCATAGTAGAATAATGATTTTGATACTCGGTTCTTCCTGGAAATAAGTTCTCTCCACCAAATGTTAAATCTTGGAGAAATTAAAACAATAATGTATGGCCATATCTCAAGGTTGAACGCACTATCATCTTGCACGAACACTGGTAGGGGATCGACCAACTCTCTCACAACCGACATCGTCTTCTACTTCACTCCCGTCTAAACAATTGCCATTATTGATGCTAAGCTCTGAACTACCATTACTGCTTGTAGCGAGGGGGGAGTTCGAGACATTAATAGTTCTGCCTCGTGGATGACCAGAACTCACACTGTACATAGACGATGCAGGAATATTTGTCATCAGTGGCCGCAAATTACCAGGAATGCTTCGCCTTATATCCTGTTCAAGACAATATTCAGATCAGAGAAAGAATTAGCTTCATCCTTTCCCTAAGCCTTCAAATTCCGAACGTATTGTCCTATAAGAACCCGACACTTTTGACAAACGTAAACAGAGTAACCATGGCATCCACCTCCAAAATAACTTTTTGGGGCTTTGACAACAACATATTCAGATTTCTTTTACTCTCATTTAATGGATCCTAGTTTGAAAAATATAAAAGATAATGCCGAGGAAAATTTTAGGAGATACACTTACCATATGCCTTATTGCCATATCCAATGATTTCTTTGAAAGATTTCTTCCAAAGCCTGAACTATTTGGTGATTCAGATTTCGTGGAAGAGTTACCGTGAGGAGAATGTTTATCATCTGGCTTGGGTGGTGCCAATTTCCTCATGTTTATCACCCTCTCAACCATTTTAGTTCCAATAACAACAGGACTCACGTTGTCACTAACTTTGGAATATCCGCGACTTACTGCAGGTACAGAGCTGCCACTTAAATGCTTATTACCACTGGGGAGACGTCCTCTTGAAGGAGAGCATGATTGCCGTCTTGGTCTACCAATGGCACCTGGCTCAACAGAAGAAGATCGAGCACTTGGTGCCCCAGGTCTACCTCTGGTGGCCGAAAGTGGTCTATCAGGTAAAGTGGTTCTTAAATTTGGTGGAGCATCAAGAGAGAAACCAGGCATCTCAGAAGTCTTCCATGGTCTAGATGCTACAGTCGGAGCAGCACCACATGATGGTACAGAATTTCTAGATGCTGCAGGAGTTGGTTTTGTAACCGAAGAGGATGCTTTAGTTGGAGAAGCAGATATGTTAGGAGTAATTGATGGAGTTGATGGCCGACGAGTTGGTGTAGCAGCTCTTGATGCAGGTTTGGATGAAGGTAAAGAAGGTTTTGCAGTTGGCGTCGAAGACCTCACTGTGGACCTTGTTGGTGTGGAGGATCTTGCAGAAACTGTGAGCTTAACAGCAGGAGACGGACTCTTGGCTGCAGAAACTGTGGGCTTAGTTGACAAAGTTAAAGGTTTTGTTACAGGCTTTGCTGCAGATGTCACAGGCTCAGATGCAGAAATTGATGGTTTAGTTGACTGTATTGTGGCCCGGGACGTTGGTGTTAATGATCTCGTAGGTTTAGATGCAGTCAATGTAGGGCGTCTGGTGGGTGTTGCAGGTCTTGAACCTGGACCCCCAGATGATGAAGGCCTCCGAGTCCCGATGGAACTCAATCCAGGTGACAAAGCCGGTTGATTCAGTGCTAAGTTTCCCCTGGCAGCAGAAGATTCAGGCTGGGGATTTGCTAACTATAAACACAATGAACAATAAACAAATCCAATAAGTTCATGAATCCAGCCATCATAACACCAAAAGGTCTAAAAATTATAACAAAACCTTGGAATAACATTTTCTTCGATTTTATTTAAAAATATAAAAAAAATACAGGACATCCATCATATTTTAAGACTTGAAAATACTTTTTAAATTTGGGCATTAATGATAGTTACTCCAGCAAAAATGTAGTAATTCATTTTAAATATTATTTAGTTCCAATATATCAGGCATTTATCCTTGTTGGTTCCTTGTTAACTATTGATGTTGATGCAAAAATGCGCCTTTCAGTTATGCTGATTCCTGACCACACCCTGATCTAAAATCATGGTTGTTAATAATCAAATTTCACAGCAAAATGGTTAAGAGTTAAGAAAGGGCTAAGTTTTATTTAGAACAAGGTAAAAAAAGAAATCAAGTAACTTCAAATTTCCATATAAATTGCTGTATCATGTACTAGAATAATCCAAACTTCTCAAAATGTGTGCAATCCATATTAAAGCATTACGAAAAAAATTCCTTACTCTAGACTTCAAGGCAGTCGAACAAGCCTTAGGAGTGCCAATCTGACTCATTACAGTCTTTTGTGAGTCCATCTCCAAGGAAGGAAAAAGTGGAGTACCTGGAGGTGTTAAAAGCCTGGCAAGTAAGACAATTCCTGTTAATACTGTCATATTACAAGGAAATAATTTAACTTGGTTACATTCATGTAGGGAAGAAAAGGACTAGTACAAAGCCGACAGAAGTGGACCTTAACACATCTTTCAGACCCAACACTACAAGAACTTCCCAGTTCAGTCCTTGTCTACGGACCTTTCTATTTATGCATTGAAATATAATTACAAAAGTAATCTATCAATTTGTTATCTAAACATTTCGTCTCATTTTTGATCATTTGAATTGTTTGAAAATCTGGAACTTGACATTTTAAAGCAACTTGCCTAGATTTGTCCACAAACTAGCGGCTACAAATCTACAAACTTATAATAGATTCATGAAACATTGCGTTTGGATCTGATCAAATTGGAAAAGAAAAGGACATAGAACCATGAGAAAATAATGGAATCAAGTTTTTAACAAGGAAAATTAATTCGACTCAATCCAGAAGAACTAAGAAAGTGAAGTTTGAATCACTGGTAGAAGACTGCAAGTAATTCATCAAATGAAACCACTACAAATCATCATCAATACTTTATTTAATGCCCATCACAACCATCAAATTACCAACTTCAATCAATAAAACATGTAACCAATAATCATAACCCTTCCGTACTTGCTTCCCCCCCCCTCCTTTTCTCTTCCTATTGCATTATTAATCCACTGATCCATTGGATAAGTTCAAATAAAATAAGCGAAACCTACCCATAACTGATAGAAAACTAAGCTAAGCATGAAAATGATTCATAAAAAATCAAGTGTTTGTTTGTTTGGTTGTTACCAATCCTTCTGCCTTTTTGATAATTAATCTTTATACCACTTATTTCTTAAAAATCTACAACAAATCAACATTAAAATTAAAAAGTAAATAAAGAAATAAATAGACTGAAAGCTAATTCTAGCATAATTGGTTCATTATCTAAAAAATGAAGAAAATAATTCATCAAAAATTTCAGCCAAACAAGTCGTTGAATTAAAATCAAAATTAACTTAAAAGAGTTAACCGTCAAATTACCAGTCATAATCATTTTTATCACTATCAGAATTAAGAAAATCATCGACAGCGGCGGCCGTCTTTCTCACCGGAGTCGCTGTTGATGCTGAAAGATTAAATATCGGCAAAGTTCCGGGTCTAGATCCTACAGTTCCCAGAAATAACCAAATTACCAAAAAAAAATTGAAAAAAAACCCTAGAAATGTAGAAGAAATTCTAAAATTACCTAAAGGAGCATCGAAGTCTTCAGAGGAGTGATTAAGAAGAAGATGACTTTGTTTTTTCTCAAGTTTTCGCATCTCGAAAAACAATGCGAGTTCTTCCTCTTTCTCTTTCATCGTCGAAGCTCTTAACTGTTTCCGCTGTTTCAAAACAGCCGCTTGCGTTGTCGTTTCTTGCTGAGCCCTAAAGCTCCGATTCATCTTTCACCTACTCAAATTCACTCCTTGTAGATCAAACAGAACAAGTCTCTCTTTGTAAACGCGGCGCGTGAGAAAGTGTTAGGGGAGGGTGAAATGGTGAAACGGCGTGAACCGACGATGGATGAGATTGGTGGAGGGTGTAAATAAGAGGGAGTAGAGAAGGGTGAAATGGGAAGAGCAGAAGAAATCTTTCGATGACGGAACAACCGTAAACTTCAGCTCTCGTTGTTCTCTTTCTCTCACTTGAAGGCTACGTTTTTTTTTCAGATTATTATCATTTTTTTCTATTTTTTTTATTTTAGGTGGATAGAATAAAAGTAACAGTAAATTACACTTTTTAATATTTAAATTATCAGTTTTATTTCGTTTTAGTATCTAAACTTTTAATTTTTTTAAAATCATATTTAAAGTTTAATTTTTATTTCATTTTAATACTCGTCGTTAAAAATTTAGGGTTTGTTTGTTTGGTTGTAATTGATTTTCTGGAAATTAAATTCTAGAAAATGAATTTCATTTTCTGAAAAACGTTTTATAATATTTGGAAGATGTTGTTTAAACTTTTTTTCCACTAGATGATGAGTTTTTAAAAAAATATTTATTACAAATATTAAATACAATAAATAATATTTTTTATCATAAAACTTAATATAATCATTTTTAAAATATTAAAATAATTTATTTATTATTAAATATTATTTTTATAATTTTATTAATAAAAATGTTAATATTGGTATATTTTATTGAAATAAAAATATTATAAATTATATTATTTATTTATTAAAGTAGTAGTGTTATATTCTACTTTAAAATTATTAATTAGTATATTTTAAATATCTTTATTAAAATATTATTAGATTATTATATTAATATTAAATATATAAATAATATTATTCATTATTAATAATTTAATAATATTATTTCTATGAAATTAATAAATAATATAAATTTTATTAATAATTTATTATATATTATTAAAATAAAATATAATATTTTATATTATTATAATATAATTGATTATTTTACTATAATATTAAAAATATAATATTATATTATTAGAAATATTAATAAATATATATTTTAAATATTTTAATAAATAATATTTTGATTAAAATGATATTAAAATATTTTATTAATATTAAATTCATAAAATAAAATTATTTTGAGTATTTATTCTTTGAAGTGAAAAATTCGGAAAATGACTTACGGAAAATCAGACCGTAAGTCATTTTCCAGAAAACACAAAGGAAATTCTGTTGATCAGGAAAATGTTTTACGTTGATCAACCAGTTTTCCTCCAACCAAACACTGGAAAACATTTTCTGGAAAACGAATTACGTAATTGGTTTTCCCCCAATCAAACATACTCTTAGTTTTTGTTTCACTTTAGTACCTCATTCAAAATTTAATGTTAAATTTGGAAAAAAATTAAAAGTTTAGGTACTAAATAGGCCAAACTGATAGTTTAGGTACTAAACATATAACACCCTAATTTGGTCCGACCTAAGGATCGGTGGATTCGTACGATACACGGGACCACCGATGTGGTTTACCCAATTTTTTTAAAATAACATTTAACATGATTTAAATCAAATCCATAAAATAAACATGTGTTTGGATATTTAAATATAACATTTACAAAATAAGAGCTCTATCATTAAAAATTCAAATACAAAATCATAGCAAATAGTCTGTGACTCAAATACAAATAAGGTCTCTATGAAGTACAAGCTAACTACTAAGTATCTTAGATGTACTCTAATCAGAATAATCCAAGCAAAAAGCCAAGTTTGGTGATGGCTCCTCGATCCAAGCAAAAAGTCATTCTAAGAACTTACGAACGAAAACACACTATGAACATTGAGCTCACAAGCTCAGTGTCACACAAATAACTCTAACATACTATATGCATTCATCGCATGGGCATTCGGATAAGTATAAGCATGAACATGCAATCAATCCAATACACGAAAAAAGTAGGAATCATGGTGTAGTCATAGGGTCGCATAGCATCTCGAGACTCACATACCTGTATCCTACTTAAGGTATCCTAGATAAGAACTGGGTCACACAACATTAGAATTTTCATCTAGAAAGACCCACATTGTATAGTACATAGGATGACTTTGGGGTAATATAACATCGGAGCCTACGCCACACTAGTCTACTTCTCAAAGTACTTGGGACACCTCCAGGGTCACTTAGCATCGGATCCTATGTCCAACTAGCATTTAAAGTGCATAAGCATTGACTCAACACATTAGGATTACTAACCACACAAGACGATCGTCGTACATCTAAAGTAGTATGGGTGTCCTTATCATTTCCCGAAAGTCACACAAAGGCAAGTGTTATGTCATCTTAGTTTATGTCGTCCTCAATATAATTATTAGAGTTTATTAGTTTTTTTTACATTTTTAGTCGTATTAGAGAGGTCTCAACAACACTTAAGCCCCTTCATGAACCATTTAACATTCAACAAGGTTTTTGTTATCCAACCAATGACGATTGTACCAATACTGACCATTCAGTATCGATACAACCCTGAGTATAGATACCAAAAATGAGTTCGAAGTTTTTAAAAAAATCCCCTAGAATCGATACTCCTACTAGAAGTATCGATACTCCTACTAGGGTGTAAATACCTTACCTATAGTATCAATACTCCCATGAGTACCAATACAAAAAATGGCTATAGGAATCTGAATAATTATATCAGTATCGATACTAAGCCCAGAGTATCAATACTCGTGGGGCAGTATCGATATCACATGCACATGTATTGATGCCCTCATCTCAAAACACCTTTGTTTAAAGCTACACAAAGAATAGAATCGGTAATGTTCATTCATTATAGATACTCGATCCTAGAAAACCTCTATTTTCCATGAAAACACAACCCTCAACCCAACTATTTACCCTTCTAAGGTTATTAAACATTATGTAAAGCTTATAGGAGTTGTAGGGGATTATAACATGTCATTTAACATGCTTTATATACCTTAAAAAATCTAAAACCATGATCATACAAATTTTGTACAACATGATCAATTGACTCATACAAAAAATCAAACATAAGAAATGACTTACACATGGTATAAAAGAGTCATATGTGCGTAACCTTAATACTAAGTTGTAACTTGTCACCTTGGACTCACCCAATAACAAGTTTCCTCATGCCTTAGTCTTTGGAGTTTCCCCCCACTTATTTCACCAGTAATAAGCAATGAAATGAGTTACTAACACATATAATGGCTTAAAAAGATTAGAAACATGACTCTTAATATCTAGAAATGGAATGGGAATACTAAATAACCCTAAAACCCAAAACTCATCTTAAACCCCACATATGGTTTTCTATGGCTAAAGCTTGAAAAGAAACACTTACATTAAAGCTTAGAATGTGAGGATTTCAATTCTTACCTTGAACTTCTTGGACAATGAATGAAACTCACACAGTTCTCGCATTTTCTTCTCTCAAGATTCCAAGAAGGACAGATAGAGTTTGAATGAGGAGAAGAAGAAAACAAAGAGGAAAAAATAGAGGATGAGAGTTCCCTACCCGTTGATATCACCAATATTAATTGGAAATCAACCTTTGGAAAAGTTTATGGGTTATTTTCTCTTCTCGTCCTCCATCTTTCAAGCCCAATTTAAGAAGACCCCCTTTTATGCCTTAATAAGCTCAAGCCCAACTAAAATAAACTAAATCTTAACTCAACACTTTATATGGTTTCTTGGCCCACATAAAACTCACATGTGTTTTCCAAAAACTACTAACCCAAAAATTAGGACGTTACAACTATCCCCTCTTAAAAGAAATTTTGTCCTTAAAATTTACCTGAATAGAAAAGATGCAAACATTGAAGTTACATATTTTTCTCGGTTTCCTAAGTTGCCTCTACCACACCATAGTTCCTCCACCAAACCTTCACAAACGAGATTCATTTGCTTCTCATCTCATTTACCTTTTGATCTAAGCTCATTATCGGTTCTTTTTCATAGGTCAAATCTTGGCTCACCTCTATATGCTCTAACGAAATAATGTGGGATGGGTCAGAACAATACCTCCTAAGCATCGACACGTGAAACACATTATGGATGTGTTTTAGGCTAGCCAATAGGCCATGGTTTTAACCCTCTCCAGAATCTCATAAGGTTCAATGAAACATGAGTTAACTTCCCTTTTTGTCCAAACCGGAGTATTTTTTCCTAGGTGATACCTTGAGGAATACCTTGTCGCCCACTTAAAACTCTATATCTCTACACTTTAAGTATGCGCATGATCTTTGTTTGTCAAAGGTCTCCTTAAGTCTCATTTGAATCTACTTAAATTTTTCTTCCACCTCCCTGATCAAGGTTGGGTCAACCAACTTATTCTCACTAAGCTCTGTCTAACATAAAGGAGTCTACACATACCAGGCTTCTTATGAAGCCATTTGGATGGTAGATTGATAACTATTATTATAGGTGAACTCTACCAATGGAAGGTGATCTTCCCAACTACCCTCGAAATCCAAGATGCAACACCTTAAAATGTCCTCAAGGATCTGAATTACTCTTTCGAACTGACCATCGGTATGCGGGTGGAAAGCGGTACTAAAATACAATTGGGTTCCTAAGGCTTCATGAAGTGTTTTACAACATATTGAGATAAAATGTGGGCCTTGATCGGAAATGATTAACATTGGTACCTCATGCAACCTCATTATCTCTCGTATATAAAGATAAGCCACCATTTCTAAAGTGAAGTCCATTATAATTGGAAGGAAGTAAGCAGTCTTGGATAGTCTATCCACTATAACCCTAATATCATCATTCTTCTATCGCACTAACGGTAAAACCATCACGAAATCCATGGTCATCCTATCCCACTTCCAGTACGGAATCTAGATATGTTGAAGTAAGCTTGAGGGAACATGATGTTCTACCTAACTTGTGGTAAGCCAAACATTTGGAGACGAACTCAAACACTTTTCATACCTAGCCACCAAAATAATTATCGAATTTCTTGGTACATCTTATTACTTCTAGGGTGAATGGTAAGCGGACTAGAATATGCTTTATGCAAAATCTTTCTATGCAAATGTTGACCTGGTAGGATGTACAAATTACCTCAAAAGTACAACACATCCCCATCTTTCAACTCATAACCGGGTACCAAACCTTGGTAAACTCACTCTATCTGATCTTTCAACTTGTCGTCTAAAGTATACATTCTTTTTACTATGCTCACCAATTCAGACTCTACTCTCAACTCCGCTAGT